ACGTCACAAGTGACGCAGTTGACCCACCATTGAATTGAAGTAGTGCCCCACTCCTCCACTACCGGATTGTATGTGGCATTGTTGTGGCTGCTGCTGCTCCTTTTGCGACACAACCGTGGACGTGGTGGCAGAGGAAAATACAGCCTCCCTCAACTCCCATCCTCACTCTCTGCGTCACTTTCACTCTTTGTTTATAGTTATTCGCAGAATTTTTTAAGTTCCTGCCTGGTAGTGCGTAGGGTGGAGACTCTGTTTGGTCGTTGGCGAAAGATCACTCCCTTCACCGGACATGGAGGATGGATGTGTGAGCGTGGGGAGTGCATGTGTTTTTTAGTGGATAGGTGGAAATGCGCCTCTCCCAAATGCATTCACTTCACCTCCCTGGCTGGCTGCTCTTCTCGCCGCGTTGCTAATATTCCTACCGTTCTTGACAAGGTGACGACAATGAAAACGACGAATTGATGAAATGCTACAACATCGTGAAAGGACTCTTCCTTCACTTGCCTCACTCAGCTCACCCTCTCCCCGATTGCAACTCCCCGTCTTCCATATCATTCTCATCCTACTGTACCGCATTGTGGCAGCCTCTCATTGGCACCACCACTGCTTCCCGCCCTTCGTTTGTCCTTTTCAAATACGAGCCTCGATTGGCATTGTTAGCCTATTGATGACATCATTCATAGCAATGTGAGCGTGTTGCTGAGCCTCAGCATCTATGGCAGTACCACGACCGTTGAATGCGAAATTGGGTGGGTGTGGGTGAGTGCTACATATCCACTAATGGAGAGCAAGGAGGAGGAGGAGGAGGAGAAGGTGGCACTTTAGTTGTAAATTTGTAAGCCGGTTAGTTGAAACTCTGGGAGTCTTTCAAACAGACACACTGGATAATTTTCATGTGTAATTAGTAAAGGTACAGCCTAGTAATGAGTTCTGGGTGGAGGGGAATTTCATGTGGAATGCAATGTAATAAAGGATCGATTGTGTACAATTTCTCTCAGCGTCCTCTGTGCGTTCTCTATGCCTGACAGCAGTGATAGGAACACGAAGGAGGAGGAGGAGGATGCGGATGTAAGAACAACGACTGGCGAAGAGGGGCGTGAACAGGTGTGTTGTGCAATGCCCTTGACTGGTGTCGTGATGAGCATGTTAGTTGCCCTCGACCGCCATACCTCCCAACAATATATTCAGCCTACCTTCTTGTAAAGTCAGCAGGTCGACCACACCGTGGGTGTCGACTTGAGATGTAACCGTAGAAAATAAATGCAATTTGTTATGCCGTAGGACAGTAAACTGGATTGTATGCAAGACTGCCTGCATGATGAGTAGTTTGCAGCAGCTCCACTGCATGAGGCTCATCAGTATCGCCTTGTAGGTTGCTGCATTCGCATTGCAGTGTTTCAACATTCCATATAAATTGCAATCTTCTCCGGATGCATTTCCGTATCCTCTTTCGTGCCCATGCTCACCCCTGTCAAACAAAAAGAACGACCACTCAATGGTAGAGTAGAGTGAAACACGTGATTAGCATAAATGCCTCCCATTCGCACGCACGAAGCCGCACAGGCCTCCAAATATTTCAGTGATTGGAAGCCACCTCAACGCTCGTACTGCTTGTTTAATAGTCCGCTTTGCTCCGCCTCCCCCACACCACCCTACTCAGCACTGCTTGCGTTCATCTGCCCTAGTTGCCAACGTCACTCATTTGCCCCATTCTGCCACATACTGCTCTGCATGACCCAGTGGTCACACACTCCCACTTCAATGCACTCCACGTGCGCGCATA